AAATGGACACTATAATGCCCGTAAGATAAACTAATACCCATGGCCTATACAAAATGTAAACATGCAATAAATGATAAAACACCACTGAGGGCCTTAACTGCAAGCATTAGTCATTCATTGAAGAATGGGAGCCAGCAAATTGCACATGTCTCGAGGCTTTTGCTATCAAATTTTGCTTTCCTCTGTCGAAGTGCAATAACCAGTTCATGTTTTAGTACCAAATAAGTTATTATCCATTGGGTCGAACACATATGAGTAATTATCCATGCTTTAATTAACCTTACCCACAGGTAAGTATATGCATTTAAATTACTGCCAATTTCAACATCAAATCAGGGTCAGCTTTTTCCAATTCAAACAGGGTGTTAGTGATGGAGATAAATCAACGCGAATAAACAATATAGGCAACCTGTACAAACCCTTCTCAATTTCAGTAATTTCTTATGTGTCATCTTCTCATTGGTTAATCTTAACTTTACCACAAAAATGTTAGAAACTTCTTCACCATTTTGTAGAACTTCCCACTATAGATATGATGAAACTACTAGCATAGCTTCCAGATCCAATCACCCCAATAAAATGATCAGGCCTGACAATTGGATGGATTGAACGATTTTTGGACGGGTTGGTGTTGGATTTTTGTTTAAGTGAGTTATACTCGTTCAATTATAGATTGGATTGATGTTGAGTTGGGTCATATTAAATTGACTCAAATATGACCCATCATATTATTTCATGCATTTTGATAAATACGCCTCACACACATTTACATATGCACAATAATTTTATCATACATGTAAACACATTTTCACATAAACACATTTTTTGACATACATAAATTTTGTTTTTATTTTTTAAGTTTTTATATGAATTCCACTCTTGTGGGGTACATCTTTGTGGCTAGTCCTTTGCTAGTAAGCAATCTATGGATACATATTAAACATTAATGCAAAAACTGAGTGCTATTGAATATACGGCCTTAAATTATGTTTGCGTCAAAGTTATAGGCTCCAAAGACGATACATTTTATTTTAGTTTTTAATACCAAAAGTAATTTTGGAGTGATTTTAAATAATTTTTTAGTATCACTTTAGCTAATTGCTACTCACTATACATTCGTTAAGAGGACTTAAGTGTTATTTTTTTTTTTGGGAAAAGTGGAACTAATTTATAAAGGATCTATTTAACGGGTGCCTAATTGTTAAAATATATTTTGGGCGTTAAATTTTTAGAAAGGTAAAATTAATTAGCGAAAGTGTATAAATACAATGAAGGGTAGTAATTATTAGTGCGTATATATACATGGTAGGTTGGATGGATTTTAGGTGTGTTAATGAGTGTGCATTTGAAAAATTTATAATGATGGCTAAATGCAGGGATACAATGATTATGATTGTGTGTATTTCACATGGTAAGTTATGTGTAATTTAGATATGCTAACAATTCCTCCAGACACTTGTTAAAAAAATCCTCTGAATGTAGTTTTTTTTTTTTTTTTTATCTATTGAAAATTTTTTAAAGGACATGCATATGTTTGTATCTCTATCCAAAACTTGGGCCATCCAAATAGATATTCTTAAAAGTAGTTCTTGTTGGTATGTTAAGCCTAACTTATATGTTAAAAAAATCTCCATATCAAATTTCACAGTTTTTTTTGGTCAAATCAAGTTTTAGTAAGCTTTCTTATTTACTACTCCAATTTGGAATTCAATCAAGGTCAAGGTAAAATTCGTTGTATTAATTAGTTGTTCAATATTTACCAAATCTTGTGAATTATAATTAAGATGCTTTTTTTATTGTATTTAATTTGAAAAGGTGAAATGTTAGAGTCTTTGTTCTACTTGTCTAATGACAACATCCCGTAGTCTCTCCTGCCATATATATTAGTGGAGCGTATTAAATTTATCTCTTAATTCTAACAAGCTTAGATTTTACCACTCACAGCAATTCTTAGGAGCATGAACATGAAGGGTTTGTAACAAGATGACACAGTCAGATGGTTTTGAAGGCATACCAGAATTGCAAGAACCTATTATACATCACATGCCATCTATCCTCACCACCAAAGAAGAAGTAAAAATAGTTTCATTGTCTGAGGCATGGTTGAGTGCATGGCAAACTCGCCCAAGTCTGCAGTTTATCGATCACTACCTTTTGAGTTCTGAGTGGGACTATAACAATGATTTCCCAACTTCTGAAGGACCACTAAAACTTGCAGATTACACGACTTTCACCCACTCCATCTTTCAAATGTACTGCGAGTACAAGAAAGATATAAGTATTTTGGTGCTTAAGCTTAACAACCTCTTAGCTTTGGCTTCTCCTGTTGATAGTGCTGCAAATTGCATTCGAAAACAGTGTTACAAGGCTTGGCATTTGTATCTATTTTTATGCTTTACCTCAAGTGGTTTTGGAATCCAGATGGCTCGTCGACTTATTTGCCCAAAATTGCGTGTTAAATCTGCATACAGTTGAGAAGATAAGGTGTAATAGTCTTCGACAATTATGCCTTTTTCAAGTGTATTTAGATGATCTGACATGCGAGAAAATAATTTCAAGCTGTCGCTTAATTGAAAACCTACAAATTAGTTACTGTTTTGGGGTAAAGAATATTAAGGTAACCAAACTTCAAAAACTTAAGACATTTACTGTTGCCTTGCTCGCCAGTAGAAAAGTTAAAGTCGAATCACCAAGTCTTGAATTCTTTTACTAAAGGAATGTGATCTCTTTCGACTCAGATAATAAAATAACTTGGCGGCTTCAACTAAATCCATCTCAGAAACTGAAGAATTTGTTCTTGTGCAGTGTTGCCATCTCTTATGAGTTTTTCTTGAACTTTGAACAAAATTTCCCACACGTTGAAGAGTTGAAAATCGACTCTTGCTTGGGGCTGCGAACACTCGAAAGTTCAAGTCACTCAATTAGAAAAATACATTTGATTGGGAATCTGGAAGAGGTGCAGCTAGATGTTCCTAGCATGGTTTTGTTGAAATATGACGGGTATACAATCCCCAAGTATTCTTTTATGATATCTCCATGCAATCTTTGGGTTTCAGATATTAATATATTTTACCAGCAAAGTTCTCTCTATTTTGAGAGCCTCTCTCCTGCCAATAGGAGTTATCAAAATTTGAATGGTAGCGGCAACCCAAAATAGAAAGAATGTTTGAACTTTCAAAACCAGCAATAGTGACCCTTCAACTTCCGTACAACTGAAACACCCAAAATCAGTAATAGTAAACCAATCTTCAAGCCAAATACTCTGTTCCCAAGTATGAATGAAGCCATGATCCGAAGGACTGAGGAAGGATGAAAAACCACAAAGTGTATTTGCGTGTGTAGCTGAGACTGTTTGCTAGCTAGAGGATTTCAAGGTTTGGTAGTGCGTTTGTTAGGTTTTCTGAGTTTGTCTTTTTACCTTGCGTGTTCCTACTCTGTCTTGCAGGTTTAATCGACTGGAGCTAATAAGAAGGGAAATAGCGTGAGGTAGGTCAAACGTAGCAGGATTCGGAAGGATGGAGGAAGAACTAACTCGAGCTTTTAGCAAGTTTGAGCTCTCGAAGTCGGAGCTGGAAGGGGTAGATCTCTGCTCTAATGATATAAGGGAGGGGGTTCAGGATTGTAGCAGAAACTTAGTTGGAAGAATGACGGGAGAAAAGGTGGCAGATTTCATAGGGATAAAAAACTTTACTAATCATGTTTGGGGGTATCCGAGAAATATGGTAGTAACTGGGCTAGGTCCAAACCTCTTTCAGTTTCAGCTAGAAAAGAAAGATGACCGTGGGAAAATTCTGATGGGAGGGCTGTCGGTCATGGATAATCAGATACTTGTGATAAAGGAATGGAGGTTGGGTGTGAAAGAAACCTCAACCACTTTAGATTTGCGCACTTATGGGTGCAAATCTGGAATCTTCCAGTTCACTGGATGTGTAGAACAGTGGGTTTCAAGTTAGGGAAAGTGTTTGGAGGTACAAGGAAGGTAATTGTTCCACCAGGGAGGGAAAGAAGGGGAGGCATATGAAGATTTTAGCAGAGATTGATGTGCTGCAACCCCTGCTGAGAGCAACTTTGGTGAAGTTGGAGGGAGTAAATACTTGGGTAGAGTTTAAATATGAACGTTGCCCGGATTTTTGTTACAACTGTGGGCTAATAGGACATGGGGACAAATTGTGCACTGGAGAAAGAAGTGAGGGGCAGTCTAATAGGGAAGGTCAGTATGGGGCATGGATGAGAGCGGGGAACATAATGGTTTCCCCGTTGAGAACTGGGAAGACGACTAGCACAGAAGTAAATCACAGAGCTATGGTAGTACCAATGATAAACAAAGTGCAGGGAACAAGTGCTGGGATATCTACTAACAAAGGGCCTGGGGTGATGCTTGAAAAGAGTAGCCGAAGGGACGACAGGGAGGATAAGGACAGTGGTAAGAGAAAAGAAGCAACTAAGGACAAATGGAGAGAGATTCTAAGGGAAAGCAAAGAACCGGAAAAAAGAGGGGAGAAAGGAGACAAGCATGGGGAGCAAATAACAGAGGGAAGTGAGATTGGAGAGAAGGAAAATATAGAAATTAGCAAGGCAACTGTGGACTTGGGGAAAGGTATGAGCAGAAGCGAAATTCATCATGAAAAGGACTTAGTGATGGAAGAATTCACTGATAGTGAGACGATAGCCAAATTTGAAAAGAGGAGCATATTGACTACTGAATGTGAAGCTGGAAATGAAGTGTGCCCATATCCAATCAAAGGAAGCAAAAAAGATGGAAAGAAACAATGGAGGAGGAGCTTGTGAACTAAAAGGGCACCACTAAGAGATATAACTGATAATGGAAATCTGAGGAGATTGGGAGTGAAACGAAAAGAATAGGAAGCCAGACAAGATATGGATATGATGGAAGAGGACAGAGTAGATGGCCCAAAACACAAGCTATCAAAAGTGGACATAGCTGTGAGTTAACAAGGAGGGGAAATGGAGGCTAGCCTCGCAATGTCTCCACTTAGCCAATGAAGGTGGCGGTGTGGAATTGTCGAGGTGCAGGAGGCCCCTTGACAATTCCCCAACTAAAGGAGGTAATTCACCTCCACTCTCCTAGCATTGTGTTTTTGTGTGAGACAAAAAACCAGGAAACATTTATGAAAAAGGTACGAAAAAGAGTTAAGTTTGAGAATGGCTTTGTTGTGAGCTCTAAGGGTAGAGCAGGGGAATTAGCATTGTTTTGGAAGGAGGATGTGACATTGCTGGATGTACAAGGTACTGATTGGTATATTGAAGCAAGGGAGGTAGATAAGGACACTAATGAATACTGGTGGATGGTAGGAATTTATGCAAGTACGGAGGACAGTGTAAGAAAGCAACAACGGAAGGCTATAGAGGGAAAAAAGAGGGAATGGGGTGAGAAATGGGTGCTGGTGGGAGACTTCAATGATATCTGCTCTAATGGGGAGAAATGGGGAGGGAGAGAAAGGTCAGAGGGTAGCTTTAGGGACTTTAATAGTTTTATCTCTGGTAAGGAACTGGTGGATATAGGATATGAAGGGGTACCTTGGACCTGGAGTAATACATGGGAGGGGAAGGGTGAGATAAAAGAGAGGCTAGATAGATGTTTAGGTAGTGTGGGGTGGGTGCAGATGTATGAGAAAGCAACCTGCGAACATGTTGAAAAGGAGGCATCTGACCACTGCCTTCTAATTTTGGACACAACCCCATTGCAAAGAAGAGTGAAAAGAAGATTCTACTTTGACCAACGATGGGCAAAAGACAAAACATCTCATGAAGTAATCAAAAGAGCGTGGGGGATAGAACAACATGGCTCTGGAATGTTTAAGGTGGCAAGAAGAATCAAAGAGTGTAGAATTGCATTGATCGAATGGAATAGGACAATTAAAGGCAATACAAAAGCAAAGATACAGGAGTTGAAGGAGCAACTAAAAGCACTAAGGGAGGCAGGAGAGATGTGTAATAAAGGAGCTACTGCAAACTTGAAACTACAACTAAGCAAAGCATATAAGGAGGAGGAGCTTTACTGGAGCCAGAAATCAAGAAGTAGGTGGCTCAAAGAAGGGGACAAAAATACAGCCTATTTCCACCTAAGTGTCATGGCAAAAAGGAAAAGGAACAGGATTAGTATGCTTCAGAAGACAAATGGTGAGTTGTGTAGGGGCGAACAGGAAATTGAAGAGGAACTAAACAAGCACTATACGGAACTCTTCACCTCCACTGATTCCACAGAATTTGATGAAGTGCTGCAAGGCATACCTCACACTATTTCCAATCTTATGAACGAGCAGTTGATTAAACCAGTGGATGAGAGAGAGATCAAACAAGCTATTTTTTCTATGTTTCCTAACAAAGCTCCTGGAGTTGATGGTATGTCCCCTTTATTTTTCCAAACATACTGGAATGTCATTAGAGCTGACATGGTTAATGCTATTACCAGTTTCTTTCATACTGTAACCTTCTCAAGTCTGTCAATGAGACCATCAATGAGGCCATCATTTCCTCAATTCCAAAGGTTGATAACCTTGTGATGCTGACTAATTTCAGACCTATTAGCTTATGTTCAGTGTTTTATAAAATTATCTCTAAAATCTTAGCTAATAGACTGAAAAAAGTCTTTAAGTGTTGCATTAGCCCCTCACAGTCTGCTTTTGTCCCAGGGAGACAAATTTTGGACAATGTCATCACTGCACACGAAATTTTGCATTTCCTGAAAAATAAGAGACCTGGTAAAGTTGGCTTCATGACCCTTAAACTTGACATGTCCAAATCTTATGATAGAGTGGAGTGGAAATTTTTGGGGAGAATTATGATGCACATGGGTTTTTGTCCTATCTTGTTCAATGGATCATAGCTTGCATTTCCACAATTTCATATTCCTTTAACTTGAATGGACAAAAGGTTGGTTTTATTAAGCCTTCCAGAGGAATTTGACAAGGAGATCCTTTATCTCTTTACTTGTTCATTTTGTGCACTGAAGGCTTTTCTAATTTACTCAAGAAAGCTGTGGAAAGAAAGCAACTAACTGGTATCAAAATCAGCAAAGACAGACCCATGGTCTCTCATTTGTTTTTTGCAGATGACTCACTATTGTGTTGCAAAGCAAGCAAAAAGGAAGCTCTGAAGATAAAGGAAATCATCCAACAATATGGCCAAGCTACTGGACAGGTAGTTAATTTTGATAAGTCAGCCATGTTTTTTGCTAGAAATACTCCCATCATGATTAGAAAAGAGATTAGTGAGGTGTTGGACAACATGAGGGAGGCTCAGAGTGGTAAATATCTAGGCCTCCCTATGACTATTGGGAGAGCTAAAAACCAGGTTTTTGGGTATTTGAAAAATAAAATTCATAGCAAGTTACAAGATTGGAAACATAAGATGCTTAGTCAAGGGGGTAAAGAGATACTGATCAAATCTGTTATCATGACCATGCCTAATTATATCATGTCGTGTTTCAAACTTCCTAAATGTATGTGTAAGGAGATTAGTGCTAGAATTGCTAGATTCTGGTGGGGGGTGGGGAAAGTGATAACAAAATGCATTGGGTCAGATGGAGTAAGCTTTCAGAAGTCAAAGGGAGAGGGGGGGTTGGGCTTTAGAGACTTGGAAGCTGTCAATTTAGCTTTGCTTGCAAAACAAATTTGGAGGATCATCACTAATCCAAATTTGTTAGTAAGCAAAGTTTTGAAAGCTAAATACATGAAAGAGGAAGACTGGCTGGAACAACAGCCCCCTACCACTGCTTCTTGGTGCTGGAAAAGTATGCACAAGAGGGGAGAACTACTTCAACAAGGCTTATGGAAGAGAGTGGGAGATGGAAGGACAGTGAAGATTTGGCAAGACGAATGGATACCTGGTTCGATCAATGGACGAGCATCAACTGCAAGACCAACAGGATGCTAGCTTGAGTACGTCCATGAATTAATAGAGGAAGGGAAGTGGAGAACAGATCTCTTGCAGCTTTGGTTTAATGAAGAAGAGGTGGAACACATAACCAGCATCCCCCTTAGTTTATATGGAAGGAAAAGATAGACTGTTCTGGAAACATAGTCAATCTGGAGCATATACAGTGAAGACAGGATATGATGTCGCAAAGTGGGAAGGAGACAATGTGAATCAAAGGTTAGCGCAAGGATCAGAAACTAGCTGGGAGATTAGGAAGCATACAGTGTGGAAAAGACTGTGGAGATTAAATGTTAAGATGAAACTGAAACACTTCTTATGGAGGTGTCTACAAAATGCACTGCATGCTAATGAAACACTCTATAAGAGGATTGGAAAGGGAAGCAATTTATGTAACTGTTGTGGGGAGAACGCTGAAACGATTGAGCACATTTTCTTCTTTTGCCCAACAGCTCAAGTAGTATGGAAGTTAGCTCAAGTAGTATGGAAGTTAGCTCCAGTGAGGTGGGAGGGGATAGTTGAGCTGCAATGTAACATTTGGAGATGGTGGGATGCTGTGATGCAATTTGCTAGGGAGGCGCAAGGTATGGATAGAATCCAGCTCACGATGAACATACTGTGGCAGATCTGGAAAGCTCGAAATAAGATGACATTCCAGACTGAGAATATGGATGCAAAACTGATTATAGATAAAGCACAGCAAGAATGGCTTGAGTATGAAGCTACAAATGAAACCAACACACGGCCAAATACAACATCAGTAGTGGAAGGACAGCTACAGCAGAAATGGGAACCACCTAAGGAAGGAGTAATAAGGATCAACACAGATGCTGCAATCTCAGCTAGGATGGTAAGGACAGGCTTGGGGATAATTGCAAGGAATTGGCATGGAGAGATTGTGAAAGCCAAAGGCATCATGGCGAGGAGGAGAGGAGAAGCAACCACAGAGGAAGCTTTAGCAGTAAGGAGTGCGCTAGAAATGGCCAAAGCTGCAGGATGGACAAGTATAGAGCTCCAATCTGACTGCACAAATGTAGTGAGCCTAATCAATACAGGCAATGTGCAGGAATGTAAGCTACAAACAATCCTGGAAGACATTGAGGACCTGAAGAAGAGCTTTGAATGCTGTTTGTTCTTGTTTGTTCCCAGAACTGCTAATGGTTGTAGCCATGCTATGGCTCAATTTGCAGTCAAGTCGGTTAGGATTATTGAATGGGAAGGTTCATTCCCATCTTGGCTATCAGAGTTAGCTAGAAAGGATATGGGGGTAGTTACCCCTTTATGTTATTAACCCTTATGTTATCAAGTGTTAATATTTATAAAATTGGTAACGTTTGTCAAAAAAAAAAAAGATATTAATATATTTTACCAGACAGATTTGGGGACTTCATGGTTCTTCAGATTGCTGGAATTTTTGATGAAGCTAATCAAATCCGAACTCGACATCAGAATGGGACCAATGATCATGCCAGCTTTTAGTGTAGATCATGAGAATCATGAATTTAGTGTCATCTTTCCTCAGCCTCAAGTTAAATAACTCTTTATCTGCTTTGATAGATTTGATGATAAAATTGCCGATGCTGCATTGTCGTTTCTGGTTTACTTCTTCCTGATTTGTCGTCCTAAACCTATAAGAAGACATTGGAACTTCTGGAGTCCAAAAGAGAATTATTTAGTTTCTCTATAAGTTACTGATGTTCAAAACGAATCAGAAGCATGAGAAAATGCTGCAAACTGCGTTGTGGCAGAAGCATCTAAAGGAAGCAGACGTACAGATATTTAAAGAGAAGCGAAAGGGTCAGCATCCCTTACCATTGGACTGGGAAAGTTTTTCAAATGCATTGCCAACAGAAGAATGCATTTGATATCTTTACTTTGATTTAAAGTGGGAAAAGACAGATATGCCATGAGAAGCAAAAATACTAGGAACTTGATCGATTCAGCTTCAATAAAAATTGGAAGTATTGCGTAGATATACCTATTATTGCTATGACTATTTGTATTATTCTTGGTTAAACTATGATCAATGCTGTGGTTGACTTGAGCATGCTAGATGTTTTGTTCACTGAGTCTGCCAGAATGCAGGGGAGAAAAGATTTTCTTGCTGCTAATTATATTGGCAGTTATCTTTTTCCTCTTTCTTCATTGGTGTGCTGGTCTAGTAAATTGGGTTCTGGATAAGGATTACAGATTGAGGCGCGAAATTCAGGAATACATTATTCCAAAACTAAAAAAGAAAGCAAGATATATGTCATTATTATTATCCTTTTCTTAGCAGAAATTATTACTATCCTTTTCTTACTTACTCAGGTGCTTAGACAACTGGAGTAAAAGAGAAGTGACAATTTGCAACATGATACAAATTCACCTTTTATGTTGTGATTGTAATTGTATGAATAGATAAATTTCTCGGGCGCATCATCCGACAATGCTTTGTGAATTATTATGTCCTTTACACAAATATAAAACATGCTACAGGTTTGTAGTCTAGGGTAAAGTTTTCATCTTTATATAACAAAAATATGAGATGTGTAATCAATAATTTAGAGGTTGGTTTTTATCTTTTCATCACTTTTACTTCAATTGAATTAGTTTTAAATCCTGGCAGTTCATTTTCCTCGTGGATTGCTCGTGGATTCCATTGCATACACCAAGCTAAGACAGGAAGACTTTTGCTGAGGATTAGCAGACCAGCCACTTGGTCATTTTTCCAGCTTATAGACATCATAGCCTCCAGATATTTGGCCCGTAGGGAATAGGTTATGAAGCTAAATCGCTGTATGCAATTTGAAAAATTTAGAAGAGTAGGAGCAAAAATGAATGAATGAATAAACTCTATGGTTGGATTTCTATTTTTATTCATTTGGAGAGAAAAAGCAAAAGAACAGCAGGGACTGGAGGAGTAAGGTCCATGTACAGCAAGACAAAAGGGGGGAAAACAGCTGAAAAAGAAATTTTCTGTATTGTAGGATTTGATTGGAATGTTGGACTTCTCTTTCTGCTTCATATGCTTTATAACTAGAAAATCATTTTAATTTAGAAAACTTTGACATTTGCAATCCAGTATCTACAATTCAATATATTGGCATATAGCTTTTCTACATGTTCAAGGGTAAATGCAAACTATATCATAACACTCCTCTGCATAATGGCTAACATGTATTTTGAATAGTGTAATGTGGAACTGAATACTACAATCAGCTAATCAATCATGCTGCTGCTCAAAAACCATACAAAATCACCATAGTAAAATTCTGTCTTTGTTGTTTCTTGTCAACAAACCAAAACGATAAAGAGAATTGAGTCCATGAATTTCCCGGAAGACCAAAAAATCATTTTATGCAGTTCTACATTCATTAATATCTGCTTGTTGTGCTGCATCAGCACTTATCAGCTGGATGTATTATCTCGAACAGTTGCTGGATCAGATCCCAACGATCTTTGAGGTCACTTTCTCATCTGCAGCTTATAATCAGGTATCAGTTTAGAAGAATCTGAATAGCTTATCATTCAACATTAGGTAGCCTGGCACCTTGTGAGATTTAAGAAAATTCCCCAAGGTTTGGCAATCAAAAAACAGAGATCCTCTTCCATCAAACAAACACATTTATGTATTGTTTTTGGCAACCAATATATATATATATTAACAGGTGTTTTGTTTTATCTTGAAGTAAAAACAGAAATTAAGAAACATAAATGTCACAAATGGTCCCTTGGTCATGAACTTCAATCTTGAGTAGATCAGGTTACAATGAAAGCTGAAAAAGTGACTTGAGATTATAAGGGCCAGTAACATTGGAGGGTCCAGCCCAGATGAGCTCCGCGAACTGCTGGTTGGCAGCTTGAGTTGGATGAACGGAGTCAAAGAAGGAATAATCTTGTGGATTGCCACAAAGCTCGTATTCTTTTATTCCCCACCTCCCTCCGCAGCTGTTTGTTCCTCGGAAAGGACCACTGCCGCAGCATGCACTCTTCACTTCCTTAAAGCCTTGTTATGGGAGTAATTAAATGCAATAGCAAAAATGGAAGCTAATTGTTAGTTACTCCACCATGTTCGCATTCTTGCTAGAATTATGGATGGTTTACCGAAAAATTTAGCAACCATTTAACTAGTGAATTCAGGGTTTTCTACAGTTGTAAATTTCAATTAAATTTGTACAGTACAATCTAGGAATCAACTATATACTTTGATACTAAAATAACAAACTTAGACAGGAACATGCAAAATCAATTATATACTTTGATAATGGCATAGTTGATGAATACATAGTTATGCTTTTAATAGTTGGAGAAAACTATTCCTAATAGGCAAAAAAGTTGATGCACCTACCGTATTTTGATGGATTGTCAAATAAATCGACAAAAACAGCGAAAAAGTCAAAATATGAATATCTAAAGCTTTTGAGCTGCTTCTGCAGGTGCTCGAGTCCTTTGGAAAGTAAGACATTGTGTAACTTGGCCAAAGCTGTCATCTGTCCATTGCACTCTCCAGTCCCTCCAGCAGCCAAATCGGCAGCTCTATAGACTGGTGCACAGCCTAGAGGCGGCATATTTACAACTCCAAATTTTCTCCCACCTTTCTTGTATATTTCCTGTTATGCATGCTAACAATCACTTCGCCTTGCTCTATAATGGCTAATTGACTATTGTCTAGTAGTAAAAATTAAAAATTTACCTCGAGAGCAGCTGTAATGTTGCCAACCACCATTGCTACATAATCCTCTGGGGTAAACGACTTAAATATGTTGGATTTTCTTGAATCGCTGAAGTAATCATTTGCCCCTATGCTAAACAAGTACACAGAATTGGATACGATTCGTTCTGCTCCTCTTCTACCGATATTCGAAATCAATAGTTTTTCAGCCTCGTTGAAATGCCACAACTGCGTTTTAAGGTCGACAACCTGAGAAATGACTCGAAATCAATTAGCTATATATGTTGGGAAATGGCAATATTACATCACTGGTGGTCATTTCTCTTACTTACCGATCCGGGATAGGTTTCAACTAGAGCACCAGCGCCAGCAGATGCAAAGTTTGCACCATAAGCCAACTGATATTGGTAGCCAATTTGGAGATAAGGTGGAATGAAAGGGAGCTTTGCGTATTCAGCTGCAAATGGTCATTACAAGAAAGCAAGCTTGTTATTGAAGTACACACACACACACACATGTATATATATATAAATGTATGTATGTATAAAGGACATAATTAAGTGCATATCTTGTTGATTTTACTTAAGAAGTCAGGCTACCTCCTACATACTTACCAATAAAATCCGTAATTACACGGCCGTCGCAAAACCTTCCCGATGGATATTTGAAGAATGATTCTCCGTATGGGGGAAAGTTGGCCTGGAAACCTGTACTTGTGTTGATGTAGTTGTTATTCCCAGGATCAATAAGTGAATCACCAAAGACGAAGAGAGCAGCAATGGCTTCCGGATAATGGTCATCATGATGGAAACAATCCGCTGGGATTGTTAGACTTGCAAGGACAACTAATACTACTACTAAGCAGAGTTGGCTACACGAATTAGCAAGTTTAAGCTTAATTCTATATTCTTTCGTCATCTTCATGGTAGACTCTCAGGTTTTTCTTTTTTAAGCTCAAGTTGGATTGAAGTTTTATATTGGTTTTATATGGGGATTTTTTTTTTTTTAAAAAAGGAATATATTTCATTCAATAAATCTGCACCGACAACGAAAGAAAATACACCAAATCAAACATGATACAAATATGTACACATCTGAAAACCAATAGATGCACATTCATCGTTGTAGTGCTAAGAGGTTTCAGCCGACATTTTTGAAAAATGTTCCAGTTGTCTTGTTCACTTCTTTACTAATCATGTAGCAATTTACGTAAATGATCTAAATATTGACTTAGTGTGTCACTTGTAGAAGAAACTTGAGATTCAAATCTGGCGTCAACGTTACTCGACGAGGTATACGTAATAGGTGTTTGTCTTTTTCTCATCATAGCTTGGAAAATGACTTCAATTGATGTTAACGTGTCTCCTTTCAATAAAACTGAAGAGTACTAATGGTCAATATAGAGCTGCGCTTGCCTTTCTTTCAAATTGACATAATTTAAAAAAAATAATTTAGTTCACAAATTTCAAATTGCCTTTCTTTTTATTTTTTTAATTATCTTTTCATCTCATATACATCACATCATAAAAAATACTATAATAATTATCTCAAATAAATTATTCAAATAAACTCCTATCCAAACAAACCATTTGATTTTCAAGAAAAATGAAAGAAAATACTACCATTAGATTGTAAATGATAGATTTCAAGTGTTTCTACTTTCTACCAAATAAATGAACTCATAAGTTTCCCAAGGCTAGACTAGACGAAGCTTCTTCAAATGGTACGGTGGTTTCTACCATTTCATTGGTATTAGACTGACACAACTGCACGTGAGATATGCCGCACGTCAAGTCAATAGGAACCAAAGGACAACAACTGACAAGCCTCACTTCACCTTGAAAATGAAGCACAAAATAAGAGAAAAGAAATAAAAGATTACCGGTAACCTAATAAAGAGGTGTGCTGAGGATGGGGTCACATGATGGGCAGGTTATGAATGTGAATGTTCAGTTACGTATTAAAATGATAATATTTCAACACAAATAAATTTAGTCTCCAATATTTATAATTTTAAGCACATTTCAAATGATGGAGCTAAACATTGACTAACAGTCAAAATTGTTTTAGCAATAAAATCCTATTTCAAACTTTCCTATACCACAGCCTCCTAATTTTTGCTTCGTACAACAAATGTGTATTATTATCCAATTTTAACTTATTTAATGAAGATATACTTTTAGGTTAAATGATAATGTTGTGTCTATATTATTCTATATAGAGTACATAGTGGTTAACGACACTATATCATCTGCTTTGAATTATTTATCTATAGAACCAAAGAAGTAAAACAATCAAAAATTATTTCATTAAAAAAAGACTATACTAGGTGAACTGTATACAACCAAGAGACATTTAAATACTTTGAACTCGTACTAAATTGCTCTCTTAATGAGGGCACAATTTATTTACTTTCCTATCTATTAAATCAAAAGTTTCAATGGAAAGATTTAGAATAGTTACTTTGCTATTTTCTTACCTTAATATTTTCCCCTATCTCTTCCCCCGTTACGTTAATAATTTTATTGAATGATTTAAACAATTATACAAAATATTAATTTCATCTTAAATTCAATTAATAATCTATTAAAATTAAAAAAAGAAAAACGAATCTGATTTACTTATAGTTCATATTCTTTATAGTTCGAATGGATATCTAATTAAGAATTTAAATATCAATACAATTAACAAAAAAATAATAATAGAATTCATTATCAATTAATTCTCCATAATGCAAAACCATACATACATAAATTATGCTACATTTGAGACTAGTAATGCAAGAATAAAAGTCTATGAGAAACAAGTGGGATGAATACGCAAAAGAAAAAAAATGTGTGGTATAATAGGCACTGCTCTTATAATAACATTGCCCACAAGCTCAGCTGACTGACTTTATTGCAACCGTCTATGAGCTATGAAAGACCAGGAACCGTGTAATGAGAGCTATTGTTAAGGAAATATGCTTTGTTGTTGCTTAATTACACAATGTCACCTTATACAAAGGCAAATTGGGACCTCGCTATTGGGTTGGAAATTTCGCATGCTTTCTTTGTATAGTATTTACCATACCTACCTAGAACATGATATAGTATTCAGCAGTATTGCATTTTTGATGTATTGAGTCTTGAACACGTTATACAAGCTTATTTCCTCATTAACAATTTGCCTAAAAATATTCTAAGAAGGAAAAATTGAAGATAACGGGGGGAGTATAGTTACAAATATTGTATAAAGACTGAAACAAGAAACAAAGATCCTCCTCTATCATACCGTTTATTTTGATTTAGGGCAAATTACACTTTACCCCCTTGTGGTATAGTTAATTTCCACGTAATCTCCTATAGTTTTAAAAACTATATATAATCTCTTCATAGTTTGGATTAAAGTGTCAAAACAATGGAAATAATCATTCGTAACGGAACCTATGAAAATATAGAAATTACTGTGTTTAAAAATTAAAATGGCCGAAGTGACCAAATATATAAATATAATATGTATGATACTCTAATCCTGTATGCCTTTATGTTTTACCATATAATCTCTTATGATTTAATGTTTTACCATATAATCTCCTTATGATTTTCAAAATATATACATAATCCCCTTGTGGTTAATAAATAATTTTTAATTTTTCATAGGGATATTTTTTATATTTTAGGTGACTCCATTATGGGTTGCAAATTTCGTCACTTTGACACTTTAATTCAAATCATGAGGGGATTATATATAGTTTTAGAAATTATAGGAGGTTATGTAAAAAAACTAAATCATATGGGGGTAAAGTGTAATTTTGCACTTTGATTTATTTGTGAAAGAGAAATGATGCGATGAAACAAACACATTTATGTTCTGTTTTATTTTGAGGTTAAAACAGAAACTAACATTCATGTCGCAGACGGCCCTTAGCAATGAACTTCAATCTCGAGTAGATTACATTATGAAAGCTGAAAAAGTGAGTTGAGATAATAAGGCCCAGTAATATTGGAGGGTCCGACCAAGATGAGCTTCACAAACAGCTGGTTGGCCGCTTGAGTTGAATGACTGGAGTAGGGCGTTAGGCATCGGGTAATTGGGTCAGAAGTTAGGAAATTGGGTTAGCAAATGGGGTTGGTAATTGGGGTGATTAAGACACTGAACGGTGTCGTTCCAATTAATAAGGGTTCCAGGAAATTATGGCGGTGCAATTGTTAGTTAGGCAGTTAGTAGCGTATCAGCAGAGAGGTAATAAAAGGGGCCCACACATGTACAGTCGGATAACAGAATTCAGTTGCTCTTTTTCATTTCTCTTCCCTTCTTCTACTCACTTTCTCTCTCTCTCGCACTCTGTCTTCATTCTTCTTTCTTGATAATTAGAACGGTCTGAGTGAATTGCAGCTCATATCCTAACATAGGGTTGCAAACCAACCGAACCGCTCGTGAGCGGCTCGAGTCAAGTTCGAGTCGAAATCGAACTCGAATTCGAGCTCAAAATATTATGCTCATTAGCTCACGAGCTGGAGTATATATATATATATGTATATATATATTTTTTAAGTATATATATATTTTTATTTTAAGTATATATATTTTTTATTTTAATAGTAAAATTACATATATATCCTTAAAATTTTATTATTTATTAAGAAAAAAATATTATTTTTTTATTTTTTTATTTTTTTCGAGTTCAAGTTTTAAATTGTCAGCTCGTCGAGCTCGAACTCGAGTTCGAGTTCAATAAAATTAAGTCAAGACTCGGATCGATAAGGCCAAATCTCGACTCGGTTCTGCTCGTTTGCAAACCTAGACTGGAGTCAAAAAAGAAATAATCTTGTGGATTTTCAATTTGTCAGATAGCTCGTATTCTTTTATTCCCCTCCTACCCCCCCAGTGCAGCCCCCAACTCCTCGAAAAGGACCACTACCGCAGCATTCACTCTTTAACTTCTTTAAAGCCTCCCATGTAATTAAACCAAAGTGCAAAAATGGAAACTCATTGTTAGTAACTCCACCTGTTGACCTTGGTCCCTAGTTTTTGATGATTACAAAACAAATGGATGTTGCTAATATCTCCTCAAAGGTTTTTTCAGAAATAAATCAAATCAGGTTCAAAGATTAAGCACATTTGAAAAAGATAGAGTATGCTGAACCTGTCGGACACTCAAGAAGACAGTACCGGACGTCCGATAATCATTGCACAACTTCGGACGCATGCTTCGGACGTCCGATAGAATCTTTCGAAATCGACAAAACTATCGGACGCTGAGTATGTCTCTATCGGACGTCCGATAGAAACAAGATAATTTCTCAAATCTCTTTGTTTGCTGTCGGACGTACAAAAAGCTTGCACCGGACGTCCGAAAGAATTGAAGAAAATCTCTTAAATTCACTGCCTGCTGTCGGACGCATAAAACAGGGCTATCGGACGTCCAACACTCCAACGGCTAGTTGACTCTTCAACTACTTTCTATCCATTGGAAGCATTAATGAGGCACTTTCTTGATCCTATATAAATAGTGGTTGGTCAGATACTTCAAACAACTTTGGCACACTGAAGATACAAAAGATTTAGAGTGATTTTAGTGAGAAAATACTCTTCAAAGAAGATTTGTAGTCTTAGTGGTGTGAGGTTCATTGTAATCTTTTCATTTGTGAGTGAATACTTCATGAGTGTAGTTCTGTGAGGGTTGTCCTGAGGGATAGTAAAACGTCCTGACTTGACCGAGTGGAGTTCGGGACAAGGAGGAGGTGAACCTTCCTTTGTACATAAGATTGATTGTAATTCATCAATTTGAAGTAGGTTTGTTGAATTAATCTACAAGCTCAAGAGTAGCTGTGTAGTTAATTGGTTTGCAATTCTTTCCTTTTTATTTACTTTTTGTTACGTTTGTGTTCTTTAAATTGATTATCTCTTCTACTCCCAAGCAGTCTTGCTTTCTTGTTAATTGTCTCGTTGGTTGTCTTCGGGCCTAACACCACCATTCAATGCAGGTT